TGGTTGCTAATGCATGAAAAACATCTAAAGTGAAAAAGTTGTTTCTTTAAAAGCGCAAGAGGACTAAAATCTGCCGTTATAAACTATACCTCTTGTTAATGTGCAAAAAATGATAAAAACAGAGAAGGGTGTTTACAAGTTATGTGAAATTGGGAGCTAAGATAATGCTTCAAGCGGGAAAAAAAGATCTTTTATTAATATACATAACAAAAAAACATTAAAGGCAGAGATGGCCAGCATGTACCATGATGGCGGTGTGAGCAGGCCTCAACAGATAAAATGAGAAAACAATTAATGACCTTCACCCTAGCCGATGGAGCTGCGGGTCCTGGCTAACACATTTACGGTTACATTCATACCACACCAGCCTGAAAGAATAACAACATTTCAAGCCCTTTCTTTAGGAGGGAAGGAGGCCCGCCACAAACTGCTCTATTACTTCTACTTGCGTAATTCTTACCATGTCTTAAAATATCATAGGTTAGACAGAAACAGATGCTGGATGCTCAGAATCGATTCATTATCACATACAGGAAGTCTCAAATTTTTCCAGTATACTGAGCCAAGCGACCAAAAGGACAGGCTAGGAATGCCCTCTCCTTATCTCTTCAATCTATCTGTTTTTTGTTTCTAAGAGTAATCACAAGTGGCTTGCAGGGCGGAAGCAGGCAGAGGTATAAAATATCTTCTTGAACATGCCTCTGACCTTTGTCCTTTTGATGGCAGGTTTCTCTAGAGCGACGGCATTAGGAAACTTAATTTAGAGGTATTAAAAAATAAAGCTAATAATTTTGAATATTCTTGCCTTTAATGAATATTTAACATACATTTTATGCGAATAAATTTTTTTTTTTTGAGACGGGAGTCTTGCTCAGGCCAACCCAGGCTTGGGCGATGCAGGTGGCTCCCATGCTCGGCTCACTGCCCAACCACCGGTCTCACCGGTTCAAGCCGCATGTTCTCCCGTCTCACCTCCCAAGCAGCTGGGATTACATGCACCGCATTCATGCACCCGGGCTAATTTTCTGTATTTTATGAAGAGACGGGGTTTCACCATGTGATCAGCCCGCGTCTGAACTCCTGACCTCAGGTGATTCCACCTGCGCCTTGCGCCTCCCAAAGTGCTAGCATTACAGGTTGTGAGCCACTCGTTTCCCGCCGGCCAGCGCGAATTTAAAATCTTAATGAACTACATGCCTATCAATTTAAAGCATCAAAAATGTTAATGGAGGCCAGGCGTGGTGGCTCACGGCTGTTATTCCCAGCAACTTTGGAAAGCCAAAGCAGAGGGTAGATAACTGAGGTCTGCCAGTTGAAAGGATCAGGCCTGGGCCAACACGGTGGAAAATCCCGACTTTACTAAAAATACAACAAATTCAAGCTGTGTGAAGTTGGGTACGGGCCGCTGTAAATCCAGCTCCTTTGGGGGAGGGGCGAAGGCGGAGATTGCAGTGAGCCAAGGATCGGCGGCACTGCACTCCCAGCCTGCGGTGACAAGCAAGACACTTCAATAAAAAAAAATAATTTTAGTAATGGAATCTGTCTTTTTGTTCATTTTTGTGTTCTGTTTGTTGTTAGCGGTTGTGTTGTTGTTTTTGTTTTTGTTTTGTTGGTTTATTATATTCATGTAAATCTGATATATATCCGTGTGTTATATATTATATTGTGTATTATATAATATATATTTTTGTTGTATCTATATCTGTGTTGTGTATGTTACCTGGTTTGTGTGTCTTAGGCTTAATCTTTTTTCTATGTCTTCGGCCACACGTCCTCTTCTAAGCTAAGGACTAAGATAGTTTGTTCAAAACAAAAGAATAAGGCTAAAATAGCATGATTACATCAGGACCGTCAAGGTATGCTTTATTTTGAAAGAACTGTCGACTTTCTCTTTAAGAGTTTAACTTGCGTCATTCAATCAAGGGACTATGGGCGGCCGATTTAACTGGAAAAAGTCCGTTTTTAAAAACGTTTTTATACATCAACATAGTGCGTGTTTTATTAAAAAAACTGGAAACCGCTTTAAACCGGCTGATTATGACCTACCATTCTTGCCTTTTGACAAAACTTTCGGAAGGCCTAACACGTTGCAAACTGGTCAAGACTCAACTCTCAATTCATTATTACATAGTTTTGGAAAATTACAACAAAAACATAAAACAAAAGGCCAATTCCACTTCTGGTGTGAACGGTGCCACGTTTGAGTAATTATATAAATAAAATCAATGCGCTTTAAATACAAAATGCTTAACTGCTTTTTTTAAAATGAAAAAAAAATAAAGAGGTAACTTAGCCTGAGCCGCTGAAAGGAATCATAGATGAGCTTCAAAGACAAATAAATCACGCATTATAAGCAGCCATATACACTTTAAGAGTGTTACTCTTAGCCAAATCCCTGAAACGGGTTAAATGGTATTTCAGTAAGGGACTGGTATTTTTGGCCTTTCTCTGCGGCCTTTTTCTGGAGCCAATTACAAAACTGAAAAGGCCACAAATCTCTGCAGTCGCAAAAGAAAGGCTTAGACTGGAGGATCCCTTGCGATTTGGGACAGGAATAGAGCGATTTGCCTCAAGATCTTAGAAACTAAATTATGAATTCCGTCTTTGTGATTCTATAGATATAGAAACTAAAGACGAAAAAAACCCACACTGCCCCACAGACCAGCTCCAAACTCTGTGGAAAGAGAGAAGGGCGGCGTGGCGGCAGGTGATCAGGCAGTTTCCAACTCCACGTCCTGTCGACTGTCGCCCGCCCCCCCCCCACCCTCCCAGCCCACGTACGGGGATTCCCGCACAGGCGGAACAGGCCGCTCGGGGCAGCGGGCTCTGCAGAAGGTGGCTAAGAGCTGTTACTGGCGCCGCTTCCAGCCCGTTCTGGAAGTTGGTTGGCTGGGGCCGGGACGCGACTCGGCAGGGCGCGGAAGGGAGCGGTTGGGCGCGCCTGCGGGAGGCGAAGCGCGTCGCAGCCCACCTTGGGAACCACCATTTCTTGAGCTGGCTCTTCGACACCGCCATGACGGCCCACTCGCCGACGTCCCTTTCACCGCAGGCAGAAAAGTCAGTCCGCTGCTGGGCCCTGCCCAGCCGTCACCAACACAATCGGCACACCCCCGACCCGGCCTCATAACAAACAGAGAAGTCCGCCAACCCCCGGCAAACACCACTTCCACGTTTCCAGCTACGTTCACTTCCGTGACCCCCCCCCCCCCCGGCGCATCCTGCGGCAAAGGGTGGACGCCGTGTGGGGGCATTGAAGAGACTTTGACGGGGTGGGGTTTCCAACCCAACGCCTACCCCGTCGAAGGTGGCCGGAGTTCAGCCAGGGGACGAATCAGGCTCCCAAAGAATGTGGCAAGACTGCTTCCGAGGGTCGAAACTTCTGGCTTCAGGCATAAGATTGGGCCACAGGTATTTCACAGGGAGTCGACTTGCAGGAAGCTAGTGCCCGCGAAAGGCGAAGGAGGTACCAGCACGGGCTTGCCAATGAGCCCCCTTAATGACTGATTCAGTCCAGTGGGGAGGCACTGCCCCCCCCCTCTGCCCACTGAGCAGTCAGACGTGTCTGTGTCACTGACTTGCCCATGTTGTGATAATGGTGTAGGGCTAAGTGCAGTTCCTAGCTCGGCATACGTTTTCTCTCCCGACATGTAAAGTAGTATATCACTTGCATTAGATGATGCCCAGTGTTCCTCGTAATTTAGTGATTTTTTTAGCTTTAAAGGATACCTCATATTTTTTTCAATTTTTAAAAAAGCAGTTAAGCATTTTGTATTTTAAAGCCATGATTTATTTATATAATTACTTCAAACGTGGCACCTCACACCAGAGTGGAATGGCTTTTGTTATGTTTTGTTGTAATTTTCCAAAACTATGTAAAATGATTGAGAGTTGAGTCTTGACCAGTTCAACGTGTTAGCTTCGAATAGTTTTGTCAAAGCAAGAATGGTAGCAATCAGCGGTTTAAGCGGTTTCAGTTTTTAATAAAACACACTATTATGTATAAAACGTTTTTAAAAACGGACTTTTTCCAGTTAAATCGCCCCCATAGTCCTTGATTGAAGACCAAGTAACCTCTAAAGAGAAAGTGACAGTTTTCAAAATAAAGCATACCTTAGTTGTGTAATCATGTATTTTAGGCTTATTGGTTTTGTTTTGACAAACTAGTTATCCTTAGTTACAGAGGACGTGTGGAAAGCCATAGAAGATTGTGACCCAGGTAAAGATCCATGTTGTAACTTTTATATATCACTTTTTGAAAAAACGGTATATTGTTTTACATAGTATGTAGCTGAACGCATGGCTCCACCTGTGTAATCTAGCCACTTGGTGAGGGCAAGGCAGTGTACCTATGCGTCAGGCGTAAGGACCGGGCCTTGATCAACATGGTGAAACCCCAGTCTCTTCTTAAAATCAAAAATTAGCCGGCATGATGACAGGGTGCCCTGTACCCCAGCTTGTGTGTTACTGGGGAGGCTGAGAGGAGAAAGTCGCTTGAACCCGCCGGAGACAGGTGCGAATCTGTTATCGCGTTGGCAGTGAATGAGCCGAGATGGAGCCACTGCACCCCAGGCTGGCGTGGATGCGCAAGACTCCGTCTCAAAAAA